TCAAAAATAAAATCCTGTGCATATATATCATGTAAGTGTTCGGCTGCACACAAAATTTGAACAGGGTTGAAATTTTTTTCATTTTTCCAGGTTATTTGATTCCTATGGAGACATGTTATCCAAAGTATCATGTGATTTCTCAAATCACCTTTCTTACCCATGTCGACTGAAAATATCTTTCAAAAGCACAAGCTTATCTCTTGTAAAATGCAAGTCCTGCAGCTTGTTGGTAAATTGCCAGAATTGTAGAACGGTAAAAAAAATATATAATCATTGGTTCTAATGACTATGGTTCTGTCACAATTGTAATTTCACTTTGTAGCCGATCCTTGCCATCATTACAAGAACCTAAGTGAGGCCAACCGAAAGATCAGTGCCATAACAAATCACTCGCCTACTGATTTGTGTGACAAGGAGCTCCCTGACGGATGGTATCGCTTTGTGGGAGCTGCAGGAACAAAAATGCCGACTGAGAAGGAAACGAATTACGGCTGTGGTGCAACTTATTCAGGCCGGTTGAAAGATGCTCATCCTAGAGTGGGCAATGTTGTGGTTCCCATGACGGTTTGCTTTGATCGTTTTCCTGACAAATGCGAGAAGAGCAAATCGATTTCAGTAAAATACTGTGGATCGTACTATATCTACAAACTTTCTAAAACACCATCATGTCCTTATCGCTACTGTGGCATAAACTGAATGTAAAACAAAGAACTACATTAATTGATTCTTGGTACTTATACTTCAGGGATTTAGAGTAGTCATCATAATCATCAATACTTCTGGTAGATTTTTATGCTGGTGAATTTATTAAATGAAATTGTCAAATAATTTATTTGTAACTCTATTAGGATTATATACCACATAGCCGGAAAAGTACTTTTCGAGCACATTGATTCCCTTGTTCAGAAGTCATTAGGCACAGCCCAGTGGTTTAAAAAAATACGGGTAATTTGTCTTATTGAGCCGGTAAACCGGTAGAAAGTGTGGCTTATCGCTTTGATGACTTAAATATGGGTGAAGTTTGTAAGAAATGATAAATTTACTGTTATTTAGGATCAAGTCTCTGATTCTCATTAAAGCCGTCAAAAAGTGCGATAACACCGATAAGAGCGCTCGAATTGACCAGGAATTGTAAAAAAAACTGACGAGGAATAGTGATGTGCAAAATAAAGGCACAAACTTTATAATACTACTGAAAAAGACTTCAACTTAGACAGCGAAAGCGCAAACTTTGTGGTAGCTAGGAATTGGTCTAACCATTGTGATCAGGTAATCTCTACGGAAATTTTCTAAAGTTTAAAAGCCTAGGAAGCAGTTTTGATATTTTCCGGAGTTTTTTCAGCGAAAAAAAAGATCAGGTGGATAATTTTTACTCGTAAAATTTATGTCCATTGTTAGAGCATAAATGTAAATTCTCTATTCATTAACTTCACCCAGGTTCATCTTAAAAAATCCAAAGACAACAACAGTTTGTTGTGGCTTAAAACGGGGACAAAGTGCTAAACTAATATCTTAGCCCCATGTATCCTTGGAGAACCAAGAAAGCAAAACCTAAACCCCAAAGGGATTCAGACAATAGATTGGTAAATTACTGAATGAAAATCTTCTTACATTGTCTCTAAATTTTTTTGGAAGCAAACAAAAACGTGGGAACTTCTCCTTCTCGGTGAGCATTTGGGAAAATGCAGTCGAAATTTACGAATGTCTTTCACTTTTACCGCACAGCGAAGAATAACGGCTTAGAACGGCTCAAAAATCTGTCGTTGTTTTCCGCGTTCAAAGCGCCCTCTTCGTTTCTCGGAAATCAAAGGCCTTCGATAAATTACAAATCTGGAAATTTGTCCAATGTGGCGCCAATAAACACAAATATGTGCCATTGTTCCGTCTGTTCCGTTATCTAGAAACAAAAGAAGAGGAAGAAAAAAAATAAAAACCTTAAGGCCCCGAAAAAGACCGTCAATGTCCAGCGCTAAATATCTTATATTTTAAGACAGCTCTGAGTCATTTAAGAAACGATTTATTTGATAATCGTCTTTTTCTTATGCTTGAACGTTGATTAAATGAGGCAAACCATAAGCGAGTTTCTTTTCAATCCTAAGGGAAGACAAACCATAGGTAGTAGCTAAGGAAACTGATTTAGGTTGATTCATCCTCACACTTTGTTTTTTTGTTTGAGCAATAGAAGCACATGGTAAATTTCAATTGTATTGTTTAACGAAAATTGCACAGGTCATAATCAATACTATACATTTATACATTAAGGAAGAGGATCTCAATAAATGTAATGGGAAAGATCTTAGTTCTTTTCCACGCACAGTTGGAACTTTACGTTACTAGTTATGTAACTTAAGGGTGTTTAGGAAGAAAAGCGCTTGAAGTGTTTTTGAGATTAGAATTGATAAAAATAGTAATGTTAGTAATATAAACAAAGCAATAATAAAAATAAAAAGTTTTTCTCTTTACCATTTCCGCTTTAAATTATGTTATTTTCACGTACATCAAGCTAACAACTACACTTAATTCAAACATCAGATGATGGTGCATCTTTTACAAACAACTATTTACTATTACCACAACAGAGACTAAGTGTCTCACCGTAACCCGTAACTTAACGTGATTGGTCGATCAAGAAAGAAGTGGATTGCTCTAATACGAAATCATTTCGAGTTTCTCCCCACCTCTTGAGTGCTCTAGCCGCTTCGTAACTGCTTTACAACAGAACAGAGCACAGTCAAGGCTTCTTTATTTGTTTTACAACAAAGAATCCGTTCAATTCCCCACGCCTTATTTTAAATTTTGAAAACAAGCTTTATTTCCAAAGCAAACAATAGTGGCGGCAGCATACCCTACACTCTCATAAAGCACGCTATAATAAACCAATCGGATCTCCAATATGATTGGTTGAACAAGACTAAAGCTGTCACAAATGTCAAACCATCAAAGTTCATAATCTTCAATAGTTTGTAAACTGAAATAGTTCGTCAGGTAGAATCTAACACTTTTTCCTGAAGCTTTTAGGCCCTAATTCAGGATCTGAAAGTGAAATGTTCAGTGAAATTCAGACTAATTGTTGGTTATAAAGACACGCAAGTTTATTTTTACAGGACAATTAGAAAACAGACTGCTAAATGTATGTGTTTTATGAATAAAGACAGCCGAATTCACAGAAATATGAAGATTGCTTGAGATGTCAGCGCTGTAAAACTCGGCTGCTGTTGGCTCATATGGCCTTCCACTCAACTCATTAGAAAGCAAATCAGAGCAAGCTCTTAGTTATTCACTCGTAGGAGGCCGATGTAATTTCTGAAGCTTGCTTCACTGCGATGACTGGAGATCGCCCTGATGAGTTAGCCAACGCCAGCGCGACCTACATCCGAACTTTATTATGAAGTTTGATATTCTAACTCACTCTAAATCGTTTGGGAAAATGTTATTCACTATTCTTTGTATATTGTGTTTATCTCATGCACGAGAAGAAAGTTGAAAACAGAGCTACGGAGGCAAAACAAAGCCTTGTACTCTGTAAAGCCAAGAAACGTACCAGAATATGGATAAACCATAGGCGGGCTATTCCTTGAAAACTGATCAAAGTTCACTCATTCTGAGGCTCAACCTTATAAAATTTGTAGAGGAGCCTGGCGAATTTAAACTATTTAATTGAGGAGAACTTAGGTCGTACAGCTCCTTACTTATACTATACATTTACCTGATATGAGTGTCATGAAGAGGTTTAACACCAAAGCAAATGTAGCGTAAAAAAAAAAAAAGAACTGAGAGTAAAAAACACCAGTAACAAGAACAAGGTAAAGTCCAGATAGATGCGTGGCACCAAAGCCATTCGCAAGGAAACTAGGTCGACCATGACTGGATATAACTTAACTTATCACAGGCTTGGTAATAAATGGTAAAATTTTGCTTATAATATGGTAAAGTAGAAAGGAGAAACTGTTATACAAGTTGATGTAATCTTTACAACAATTATGCAAGTTACACATAGTTTATGTCAACTACTTTAACATATATAGTGTATTTGTTACATTTAACATACATTTGAAGAAGGGGCGGGAAGAGGGAAGAAGACCTCATTGCAATGTGATTGATATCTAAAGAACTGAGAAAAAACGGTTTTGACTTTACTTACAATTGGTTCAGCTGTAAATGGGGAGAGTGTGTGGAGCTAGATGGTACAGTGTGGGTGGCAAGTAAGAGAAGTAGACCTCAATAAAATGCGATTAAAGAGACCAAATTGTTTTTCAGTACAAAGTTTGGAATTATAAGTTACTATTCAAATAAAGGTGTTCAGGAGAAAGTATAGACCTACAAAATATGGACATTTCTCAGTGCTTAAGGTCTGTTTATCTAAAGTGCACTCCATTGATTTTTATGATAAGAGAATGAAACCTATGTTGTTGGAAATCGAAATTTACCGAGAAGAAAAAAAAAAAGATTCTTATTTGTTTTTGAACAATGAATGGTGTGAATAGTGACTTCGAGTGGTGACTTCGAGTGGTGACTTCGAATGGTAACAAAACGTTAAACTCCTCAGACATTTGTATTCACAGACATTCAAACGTGCACATGTTATTAAATCGAAAACCTCATTGAGTCTACACTGAGCGCTGCTATATAAACTCCGGGGTTATACAGGGATTTCCGGCCCTGAGAAAAGCCGTAACAACACACGTGAAAAAATATCGTACTTTTTGACGTATGTTGATATAGCCAATCAGCTGCTGACACGTCACTCGCCCTTAGCGCCACTCGGTCAGGTTCATGAATGAAACGATTCTCAATACAAGTTGTTTGTCGGAGCTTTCTCGAATTATTGCGTCTATAACACTAAAAAATCGGTATCGCTGCTAGACAGTGAGGTTCAAACTTTCCTAGATAGGGAAGAAAACCAATATACACGGTGGTTCGTTGCTAGGTTTTTTCCTCCCGGAAGCGCGGGCGCGTGAATGTCTGCGGTAATTGCCATTAGTATTCCAACGTAAAGCAACATGGCGGCGAATTTAAGTGAAGTCGTGTTCGATTTAAGAGGCCAAACAGATTTTTCAGAGAGGGGAAAAACATTTTGGAACGCAAGTGAACTGGAGCTGAAGTTTTCTTTTGAGCGGGAGTGGATGAAGACGGTCAGGCGAGCAAAAAGACGACCAAACTATGGTATGGGGAAGATGAATAGCGGACTGGAAGAGGTTTGCGGCAACAAACTTGAGCTTTGTGGTCCACTGGTGGATGGCTACCTTTTAGAAATTGGAGAGCAGATTGCTTCGAAACTAAGTCGCTCAAAAGCAACATCATTGGTAGGCCCAGTTGTCATCTTCATTCCGTGGCAGATATTTCGTCACATAACAGTTTTGTTCAGGGGCTATAGTGGAGAAGTGAAATTTAATGAAAGAAAATAAAAAAATTACTTCGACACTATCTTGTATACAAGCAGTGGAGAACGTGTTTTCGCCGGCGAGATTCGAAGGCCAGGATGTTCTTAGAAAAAGACATTTCAGTCAACAACCGAAATCAAAGGGAAAGCTGTCGTCTGTTTACAAAGGCAGGTCAGCCGTTGTTGTATCTAAAAACACTCCTTTTGTTGTTGAATACAACCTCAAAAGTCAGAAGGCTATGGTAACATTTTATATTCAACGGTACACGGCAGAGAATTTTACCGCCGCCTGGTTAGCTCAGTTGGTAGAGCGCCAGTCTGCTGTGCGGGAGGTCGAGGGTTCGAGCCCCAGACCGGACCAACACTCAGGGTCTTAAAATAACTGAGGAGAATGTGCTGCCTTTGTAATTGTACCAGCAAATGGTTAGACATTCAAGTCTTCTCGGATAAGGACTATAAACCGTAGGCCCCGTCTCCTGCATCTTCAGTGTTACATGGTCAGCAGGGGACGTTAAAGAACCCACACACTTGTCGAAAAGAGTAGGGGGCGTAGTTCCCGGTGTGGTGGTCTATCTGTTGTTTCATTGTACATTTCATGCATGGGCTGGGTGGGTGAGTGAGATCAAATATGGACTGATAGCGGCAGCCAGAGGCGCCTTTACAAGCTGACGTTCGATCTCACTCAATTAGAATTGTAAACCGCCTTGAGACAGTATGTGATATGTGCGGTATATAAATACACATTCATTCATTTTGTTTTCGACAAAAGCTTACAAAGTCTCATGAATAAACAAGGTAATATTAATTAATATTGTGAGGTTAGTGTTGATCAAAGAAACACGAGTTTGTACCTTTTTTTTCAAACATACATTAGTTACACGTCTGTGTCAACATGGTCTCATGTTGAAATTTTCTAGACACTGTATTTCCTGTAAATATATTTAGCTTTCCATCTGGTGTGTAAAATATATTATTTTAAATTTTGTTACAACTTCAATGATAAATAATCTTAGGTGACATTGCAGTTAAAATTTACCTGGTTAAAAAATAAACTTATGTAAACTTTATAAATGGTAATAAAATATGATTATGGAGCTTTCTGGTGATACATTGACAGTGAAAAGTCTTATTCTATATAGTCTCACTTGCTAATGTACCCTCAAGGCGTCTAATAAGAACATCTTTGTTTCCACTAGTGCTTAATTGCCTACTTTGCAACTCCATTTTTAGGCCACTTACTTTCATATTTCTAGGGTTTAGATTACGGCTATTTGTAGCTGGACCAACAGGCTGTTTGCTGCATAAGTGAACACTTTTATGAGCCTCGTATGTTACAGTATCAGGAAATCTCTCATTACATACAGAGCATAGGACTGGTTTTAATGATGAAAGTACTTCAGGTATTAGTTGCTGTCCCTCTGCACACTGGACAGTCACCCTGGCATCTACACATACCTCACATATATACTCATTAATTTCCTTTTCTCTTCCACAATTGCAAAAGTTGCTTGAATTTAGCTGAGAAGGAAGCCGAGACTTAAAATGAGAAGTATAAGAACTTGGCATTGGTTGATGTTCTGGCAAATAAAATGCTCTTACATAATTAGCTCTCATGACTTGCCACCATTTCCCTTTTTCAGTTGTTTTATTGGATCTGTTTGTCAAATCCGAGTCATTTTTAACCCCTGAATGTTTAGCCTCTTTTGCCTGTAATGATATTATACCATAACCCACTTTGTAACTTTCATACAGTTTAGTTGCATGGTATGGTATGGCATACCCTACTGTCCACACAGTTACATTAACATCTGATGAAAAAAATAATGCATATAAATTAAAATAAAGCGTACAAAATTCTGTGAGCTCACCAAGGTAGGAAGGGCTAACTTCAATTTTGTTAAAAAGAGCCCCACCATTCCTAAGGAATTGTGCAATTTTTCCTAACGCTAATCTTTCTAGTTTCTTGGCTGGGGATTCATCTAAGACTTTAAGGGCATCAATGAGCCTAAAAGAAAAGTTTGCCAAAGCAATGGCCTGGTCTCCTATCAACCGTACTGGAAGCTTCTTATGCCTCTGAGCCTCATCATTATAGTGATCCTTGATCACAGAAGCTAAATACCCCAACCCACAACCAAGTTCACCAAAATCTTCCTTATGGTTACTTGACAGTGCATTGCCCAGGTCACATACAAACTTTTGGTTAGAGGCATTAACAAAATCAACCCTAGTAGATCGTTCTCCAGCAACATCATTATGTGGAACATAAACTTGTGATTTTCTATTCCCATTACCATTTCCTTGATCAGCTCTCCTTTCTACAGCTGAGGCACTTAATATATCAATAAATTTGGTAAAAACACCTCTTTGTGCTGCTACCCTGTATATGATATTTAACACATGTTGCCATGCATTAATTTCACAGTGGATAGGCTCTGGGCGCTGCCGCTCTGCAAAAATTCCAATTCGGGGGGTGCCTAACTGGCGAATCCCATTCTCTGCCATGAACTGTAGTTTTCTAGAGTGGCGATTTTTTTCAGTCAGGGAAGATGGCAGGGAAATCATAAACTCATTTCCCCTCTTAACATGGGAATTTCTGACCTCCAGAGTATAAGGTTTGAATAAATCTTCCTCCCCCATCCCAATAGTGGCACCCATATTACACATATTTCCTTTACTTACGTTAGCATAAGGAGATGGGTAAGTGGCAGCTTGATTTAACTCATTGTTAGCCCAGCTTTGCCAGCTCATATCAGCACTGGGCTGAAACTCTACAGTACACTGCTTGTTAGAAACAACAAATACATTACCCTCTAACATTTCCATTTCATCAGTGTGTTGCTTCCAGATACTTTGTAACACCTCATCTTTCTCCCCCCGACTGACACAATGTAAAATGTACTGGAAATCCCTGCTTCTCACCCTGTCCCCAAAATTCCATGATGTTAAGCTGCCAATTGACATGGTTAGCTGACTTGACTCAGGGGCCCCATCATCAGAAAATTGCATGATGAAAGGATTTATGTTGTCATTAAACCAAATTAGCTTACGGAATAAATAGGGAAGTCTAAGGTGCAGATCAATTATCATAAAAACCATCCCAGTTATTGTTCTGGAAACACCCAGTGCATTGGGAATTTGATTAACATGACCAATGTCAAGACTTCTCACAAAATTCTCCACCCGTTTGTCAGAAATAGCTATATTTGGCACCCTTAAGTCCAAACCTAAACATTTTATGTTACGGGGTACCCATAGATCAGAGTTTGGATCAAAAACTGAACACTGAGTTTTGCAGACAAGGGCATGCTTTCTGCGAGACAGAAAGTTCTGGTACTTCATAAAAACAGCTTGTTTCAAAGCCTCATCGGAATTTTGATACCCTTTCATTGTCTTGTTAAACAGACCCTGGAGATATTTCCCTCGTTTAAGTCCAGATATCAGTGTGTCCATGGTTTGATTGTCAGCAGTAGATGAAATATAATCCCAAGCCCCATATATTGACCCTTCCTTTCCCCCATGAATAAATTCTAATACATTTTTTGTCTCCTGTCTTCGTCTGTACTTAGTGCTGGAATTGACATTTGTAATCATATCATAAGTTGTACTGGCATTTTTTCTCCTAGCTACTGAAAAGCCTTTTTGTTCAAGCAGAGATTTAAATTTGTGATATTGCTCATTTAATTGTGTTACTTTTTCCTCTTGTTGCTTTACTTGATCTTCCTTTTCTTCCACACTCTTTTGAAGGCTTTGTAGCTCTTCTTCTACTGCATCTTTCTGAGCAACAGAAGTTTGTACTTGTCCCTCTTAAAAAAAAACAAAAAAAAACAAACAGAGAAATTAGATCTCAACATTTTTTGCAATCACATGTAAATAAAATACTAAAGGAACAGAATGTTGTACATACATAACTTAATTTTCCGTTCGAACTTCAGAGTAGCATGGTGGTAAAAATGAAATCTTTTGCACGTTTCGAAAACACTCAAAGTTATAGTATTACCATATTCATCCAGCCGAGCCTTTTTCGCTTCAATGTCCTGTGATAACCTTTTGTTTTGTTCTTGTAACTCTCCTTTTCTTTTCAAAGCTACATGTGAAGATGAACTCTTCCAGAATGGGTGAAAAGTTCTACTAGAATCACAGTGTCCTTGGTGAGAATTAGGCTTACTGCATTTTCTGCTTTTTCCGCAAAGAGGTTTTCGACTGCAAAGTGAGCAAGAAATTTAAGTTATTCAACATAACCACACAAACGCGAATTCGACGTTCAGAATTGCTTTGCTTACCTATCGTCCCGTTTATCCCCTGAAAAATTGCTGGCCATACGAAGATTCTTCCTCGAATGGCCGTTTCACTGCCGTAATTACACACAATGATTGGCGATCTGTAGAGAATCCAATATGGCTGCCAGCAAGAAGCATCGAGCGCTCGATAAAATCGGGGTTTAAAATGTACAAATTTACGGTTTCCACGACTGAAAGTATAAACAAACGGAGTCTACATATAACGATAAAGCTTTTTTATTTGTGATAGGTAGGATACAACGAGAATAGAAAATTACCCAGGATGGATTTCCCCCTCACAACGCGCCAAATTCACATTCTTAAACGATTTCACCTCGAAAACACAATCCTAAAGGGGGGTCCCGAAATCAAAAAGATACTTTAGTATGAGAAGAATATACCTACCCCTGAAAGTAACGATTTTGACCTTTTTAGCTAGCGTTTAAACCAGGAATTTTTCTCAGAAGGGGACTGAGTAAAACTCGCTTTTCGTTACCAAACGGAAGCGTATGCAAGCTTTATTATTAGAAAGCCATAACTCGAATGTTGGGCAACTGTGTAAGATGCAAATGTATTCATATTGTTTATTGTATTGCCGAGAAGCGAATTTAAATATCTCCACCGCTACTGAGCCATCGAACGCGAAAACAACAAAGGCCTGTTGGATCACGTGACGAGAGGGACGCTATGGGAGGAAATCGCATAGCAACGAACCACCGTGATACTAAAGTAAAAACCGAAAGTGATGCATTCAGTGGCTTTGGTGTTAGCATTTCTCTCGGCTGAGAATGAAATTCGACTACTGAAAGATTTGTCACTGGCCAATTTTGGTCGTTTACCTGAAAGAATTCTTCTCTCGGTAAGGACAAAGTCCATAAATGAGAATTTTGTAAATTGAAAATTACCACCATTGTTTTTTTTTTTATAATCATGATTCAATGCATTTTTCCATCTTAGAAGCTAGTTCAATTATATCTTCCTTCATGAAACAATCTATAGTCAAGCACCTGTATTTTTAGGGTAATCAAAACTATAACAAAATTCTCGAACATGATTGGTTATCACCAAACTGATTTAATATGGAGCAAAGACGGGGTGAAGTCCAATTCGGTCTGTAATCATACGAGTGATAAACAAAATCAAAATTCATTAAAACTATGACAAAATTTGATAAAGAGACTAGACATGGGTTTTTACTAAAAAAACAAAACAACAACAACAAAACAACAACAACAACAAAAAGAACAAAAATACTTTAACTTTCCTATTACACTGTTTAATTACAAGCATGACAGCTACACTAGGCGAAATACGAGACAACAATATGTGCACATTACGCACTGTAAGAGACAGAAAATAAACGTTATATGGTGTGGTCTTCGGTGACCGCACGCAAAATATCGCGGGCGCTCTTTCCCACGAAAAGCACATGTTTTGTTATGGAGTTATACTGTCGTTTCGTTAGGACAAGTTTTCCTTTCTATTTAGAAGGCACAATAACTTGTAAGTATGCAGTATTTCGGTTATTCGGTCAATATCATCTTTGTAATAGTCGCGTTGTTGTTATTTCAGCGAATCTTTCTCTTTCACGTGCAATTTGTGAATGGAATGAATACAAGTTATGTGCAGATTAGAAACGAACTAGCAAGTGAACAACTGATTAAAGTACAGTTTCAAGTAGCTATGAGTGGACGCTACACGCACTCTGTCCATTTACACAGGCATGACGTGTTAACTGTCCCTTTAACTTTCCTATTACACTGTCCAATTACAAGCATGACGCGTACACTTTCCTACTAATACTCAAATCGACTGAGCTGGTCATAACCAATCGCGTTCGGGAATTTTGTTATAGTTTTGATTAGAGCACTGACAGAGAAGAGAGATTATTTATGATCTCTCGATGTCCCCCTTTTCCATTCCTGAATTGATCAGGGGCACGCCGAGTTGGAAAATACGTAGTGAAGGCTCCTGATCTCAGAAGCGCTCAAAATTTGCAAATTCAGTTAGTTCCGAGTTATATTTTTGAAAAGAGCAGCCATACAGTGCCCAGCCATACATCAGTCTTCTCATTAAAGTTTTAGTTCATTGTGGGAATAGGCCTTTTTCACTGAGGGATTTTATTAAGTTTTAAACTTAAAAATGTGCTTTTTAGATAATCTTGTGGGCTAAAAGAAATGTTTAATATTAATAATAAATACTATTATTATCGACCTTGCTATTGGAAAACGTATTATTATCACTATTGTTATCATCATTAATAGTACTGTTATGTATTATCCAGAGCGAGAGCGCACAATGGTGTTTCCAGACTACTACTTCTTTGTCGAAAGACGTTTGGTAAAACATGCCATTGCAGAGAAACGCGTCAAGAACTTGGATGACTGTGAGCTAATGTACTATCTGAACGACGACTGTGTCAGTCTTAACTTCAAAAAAGATACCGACGATGACGAACCAGTTCACATTTGTGAACTAAATAACGCCACGCATCTGAAATATGACAGTGACTTGACAACTGATGCCAGTTTTTATTATCGTGGCTCTAAGGTAGGTTACAAATCGATTTTTTGAAATTATCGCCTTGGAATAATACAAAAACAATAATTAATGTTTTTGAAAATTCTCGTGCATTCAGTCATTCGGTATCTAGTTTCTTCTTTCATTCAATTACTCCATCTTTCTTTCGTTATTTCATCGTTTTTTCTTCTTCAGAGAATTTATATTTCACTTCATGCCTAAAAAGACCTAAACTAAAATGTCCATTCTGGTATAGGAAGAAAATAATATAGTTGATAATTTGTGTTATGATGTCTTCAATCAAGTGACAAATCTCTAGGGTCATGTTCCTAAATTGTCGATGAATAATTTTGACGCGTTCTGTCTTTGGCTGTCGTTAATTTGGAAGGAGGTTGCGATAATTAGAGACAAAGGCGAAGTAGTTTAGTAAAGGTTAGAAATATTAATATATGTAATATGAAATATTAATCTATATACATATTATATGCGAAGCAGTTTTAAACAAAATCTGACCGTTCGATCATATAAATTATAATAACTGCCGGCGAAAAGGTGGTAAACTCCTTCGCAACAAAATGCAATAATTCAACTTAAAATGTAATTATTGTGTCACACAGTTAGAGCCTGGAATTATTATCTTAATGTAATACGAAAAACAAATGGCCGAGCTATTTTTAATCGCTTCATATTCTCGTTGATGTCCGATTTTTGATGAATAAAATAGTGCTCTTCATATAACAACATTGGTGTTATTACAATTTCGTGTATTGAATATTGTAGTATTTTATTTTAGTTCTTCATTCTTGCAGAGACTATGATTCGTTCTATCTTGATCGCAAGGTAAATTATGCTTGTTCTCTTTCAGACGTTGACGAATGCAAGGAAGGTCATGGCATTAAAATGAACGAATGCCATCCGAATGCCTCTTGCATTAATACTCAGGGCTCATACCACTGTTCTTGTAATCCCACATACATTGGGAATGGTTTTGAATGCAAAGGTACGTTTAGTTTCCTACAAACCTTTTAACTCGTCAAAGCAGTAATGAAACTAATTTGTTACTTGTAAGGTGGTCATTGTCGTCCAACTCAAATTCAGATCCTGCTAAATTAATCTAGATTTCCATTATGACTGTTTTAGCCTCGTCGAGTGATGATATCCTACACATGGGCTACTTTATCTCTTACTATAGATGCATAGTCATTGTTCTTGTGCATGACAGGTTTCACTACCACCGATTGGCAAGTTGCCAGAATCAAAAGACGTTAGAAAATATCTTTAACCATTAACCCTAACGACTGAAGTCCTGTTGCAATTTTTACTTCACTTTGCAGCCGATCACTACTATCATTATAAAAACCTGAGTTATGGTAATAGAAAGATAAGTTACGTAACACCTTACGGTTCCGAGTTGTTTGACAGCCAACTCCCTTAGGGATGTGTGTGGGTTTATATGCAGAAAGTGGAGCTTCGCCATTGGTGGGAATATGGTGACGAGAAAACAGTAATATATTAGTTGAATGAAAAATTCAAAGATTTTTTCCTCAAAAAATGTCGCCACGATATCAACAAACTGAAATTCAATCGTTACACCAAATTTTTCAATCTTTCTTCGGAAGAGTGGTCGGCACTAAAAAGTCTAAAAAAACGCCAAGACATTGTCATTAAGGCGGCCGACAAAGGCGGTGCAGTTGTTGTTTGGCGGGCCGACCTCTAACAAAAAGAAGCTTTGTGGCAATTTTCTGACACCTCCTTTTATGCTAAAGTCGACAAAGATCTCACTTTAATTAACCAAAACATTGTCAAAATACGATTAACGATCTTATAGATAAACAAGACTTGCCGGCCACTGCTAAAAATCTCATCATTACCACTCCTAGAACTTCGTGTATTTACTTTTTACCAAAAATCCACAAACCTAACAACCCAGGTCGACTCATCGTTTCTGCCTGCAGTTGTCCCACCGAACTTTTTTCTAGCTATTTAGACAAAATTATGGCACCTATCGTCAAAACTTTACCGTCTTACATTAAGGACAGCCAACACGCACTTGAAATTTTTCGTGACTTTATTTTCCTCGACCAAAACAAAGTTATTTTCACCATGGATATAACATCTCTTTACACTGTCATTCCCAATGACGAAGGTCTCCGGGCCCTCAAACACTTTTTCGATCAACGCACTGTTAAGGAACCTAGCTCTGAAACACTACTCCGTCTGGCCGAACTAGTACTCACACTCAATTGCTTTTCATTCGGTGGTAACTACTACAAACAAACTAATGGCGTGGCCATGGGTACTAAAATGGGACCCAGCTGCGCCAATCTTTTTATAGGTTTTATGGAACATCAATTTTTTAGCCAATACCACGGCCCAAAACCTGAACTCTACGGCCGCTACATTGACGATTGCATCGGCGTTACCTCCTCTACCAAAGAGGAGCTCACTCAATTTATAACCGCTGTCAATTCCTTTCATCCGGCTCTTAAATATACCTGGGAAATTTCAACACTTCTTTGGCTTTTCTAGACATCAAAATTTCAATTGAAGGCAACGGCTTATGTACTAGTGTTTACTACAAACCTACAGATTCACATAGTTACTTGTTGTATTCATCTTCAGATCCATCACACGTCAAGAACCCCATACCTTTTTCACAGTTTCTCAGACTTCGTCATTTATGTAGTGACGACTCTGATTTTTCCGAAAAATCAGAGGCAATGTGCCAGTTTTTTGATAAACGTGGCTATCCTGTTTCTGTCGTTCAAGCGGGCTACTACCGTGCCCAACAAATCGATCGACAGGCAGCACTACAAACGGCCAAGAAGGAAAACACTCACCGCATTCCATTTACTCTTACATTTCACCCTCACAACCACGCAGTTAAATCTATCATTCTTAAAAATTTTAAATTACTCCAAAACGACTCAGAGACTGGCTCTATCTTTTCGCAACCCCCACTTATTTCATTCAAACGTGACAAAAACACAGGCAACTTTTTAGTCAGGAGTTCATTTCAAACCAATGACCAATCTGGAACTTTTAAATGCGCTCGCTCACGATGCAAAACTTGTCCTTTCATTCATAACGTAGAGAAAATATCGGGACGCAAAAGATCCATTAAGATCATTGATCACTTTACGTGTACCTCCGCCAATGTTATTTACTGCATAACTTGCACTTATTGCAATAAGTTAACCATCGGCGAAACAGGAAGACGACTGGGCGACCGATTCCGAGAACACCTTCGCGATGTGGAAAGAAATGACAAGGACGCATCCAAACCAGTCGCTAGACACTTTAATCTTCCTAATTATTCGAAACAGCATATGGCAGTTTGCGGCCTTTCCTTACATCTACCCAGTTCGGAAAGCCGTAGAACACTAGAACAAAAATTTATATTCCAAATCAGCACCCTTAATCCCCACGGAATCAACGAGCGTTTTTCATTCAACTAATATATTCCTGTTTTCTCGTCACCATATTCCCACCAATGGCGTAGCTCCACTTTCTGCATATAAACCCACAAACAACCCACAATTCCTCTAATCGCTCTGACGAAGGGCTAACGCTCGAAACGTCAGCTTTTTTACCCTTTACGGTGGCTAATTTACGTTTTCAACCCAGTTGTTAACACTAAATTACCTGCTATACTCTCCCACCGACGCAGCACCACAGTTTCTTTAGAAACTTACCCCTTTTCCCTCAGGGATGGTATCGTTTTGTGGGGGCTGCTGGAACAAAAACGCCAACAACGCGTGTGCCAGCATACAGATGTGGTGCAGACTGGTCAGGTTGGCTGGATGATGCTCATCCTGCAGTCGAAGATGGTAAAGTTAAAATGAAGGTCTGCTTTAGAGATCGCTCTACCGGTTGCAAAAATGTAATCACAATTTCAGTTAAAAATTATGAATCCTATCTCATCTAAAAACCTTACCCACCTGCTTGTTCCAGACGCTAATGTGGTAAAGACTGAATGGGAAGTAAAAAATTCAATAAATAAGAGGACTTATAAATTGATCCCTAGGTACACGTTCAGGGATTTTGTGAAGTCCTGTTTTCATGATTATCATAAATTTCTTCTATAGATTTTATACGCCGATGATGTCCAGTTCTTGCAATCAAATATGCTTTGATTTTCACTTTTTACGAAGCATCTCTTTGGTGAAAATAATCACATATAATCTATACTGCTTAAAGAACCTATAACAAAAAAAAAATAATAATAGAAAAGGAAAATGCTTAAATATTGAAATCCTAGACAAGCAAGAACACCGAGGAGCATGATAACTAGCAAATATGACGAAACTCTGTTCTCAAAACGTTAGAGGCTGCAATACAGGACGCAATATATAGCACGGTATGATAATTTTCGCTTCAGTTTATTTTAAAAATTATATGCCGCTTCTTTAGTGCTTATGATGTGTTCAGTCTGATAGTTGCTTTAAAAACAAAACAAACACGATTATGTAAGGATTAGTGTGAAAATATAATCTAGTGGGAGGCAGTAAGGTATGATATTGAAGTTTAACTGTTTTTAGTGCAGTTTCACTCTAAAATGAAAAAATTTCGAAGCTGAAGAGTTTTGAAAGAAATATATTGCCCCAGTTCCAAGCCCATGAAACCATTAATCTAATTATGGCGTTGGAATAGGTCATGACTTTTGCCACTCAACTGAACGAAAAGTGTTCACCAACTTTAATTACATTTAGTGCGTACATGTATAAGTTTCGCAGTAAGGATTGCTTAATATAACTTTACGTACTCCTTGATTTGTTTGCAAAGTAATTCTCATAACACAAGAAATGCTAGTGTCCAATTGTTATTAATCACTTAATGGTACCTACATCTGTTGCTGATGGTAGCTAGGGGTTGGCGATGCAGTCAACAGAAACGGAGGCAAGGAGGAAGGAATTCGCAATGAAAAAAAAAAATTCCATTGCTCTTTTCAAGAGCTTAAAATAATTACTTTTATTACTTGTAATCTTCTGTAACCATCCTGCTCCTATCAGGTTGTTGAAATAAAAATAATAATTAAAAGAAAAAAAAACCCGTGAAACTGCTTATTGTTCTAAGTGTTCCTGTCACCAAATAAAAGTTTGAATTAAGAAGTATACATATTAAATGAAATAAATGCTTTGCTAACGCTTGATTCCCGTGTATGCTAGAGGATGCCCTTAAAACGAGTAAGAATGTGGGGAAAAAAACAAAAACAAAAAAAAAAGCAAAAAAAAAACAGCGGTCATTTTTTACGATTGCCCATAGAAGACATGCCGCATTTTGTTTTGTTTTGTTTTTGTTTTGTTGTTGTTAATCGCGCGATAAAATCAAACTATCGCGTGATAAATGAGAAATTGTCGCGCGATAAATGAAAAATTATCGCGCGACAAATGGGAAACTTGTTAGGTCGCACGTGATGGGCTGTCGCGCACGTTGTCTCCGTGGACGACAATGACTACGACAGTTGAGGAGGTATGATTTGAGGTCACTAGTTTGTTTTATTTTCGAGAAAAGATCATTGAGCAGTACTTTGCAATACTTCTCCGACACACAGTTCTATGAATCGGTACAGTAAACCTTGATTTTGCGAATCTAACAACATCGCGCCAAAATTTGATTTTATCGCGCGATAATTTATTTAGCATGTCCTCTATGAACCATTGTATTTTTTTGATACCTGCTAAATGGGCTTTCACTACTTTTAAGCATTTAAGAATGCGCTAGAACAAACTGTGACGTAATTAAGAACCCAACATGGCTAGCTCACACCAATAAAACTGAGGTTTATTACAGTGACCACAGAACGTGCTGGAAGTAGCCCTATACATCACTTCATCGTTGCAGTTGAGTTCTTCGATCCTTGGTTGTCCTTTTATTTTAGTTTGCTCAAAAATGTGCATCCACTATTGAGGACCAGTCAGTATCTTTTACTGCTGTAATGGCGAGAATAATTCTACATGCTAACTTTTGATTTTGCCGATGCTTTTCTTTTTTCTTATTGTGACACTATAAACAAAATGCAATTGAAAGCTCTCTTGATGATGTCTCAGATGAATAAATTTTCAGATATACTGTAAGCTCGGAAAAAAATCCACTTACCAAATCATTCGTAAACTTGCTGTTTCTGGAGCTGAGAGACTTTGCCCAAATTTTGTCGCACCTTTACATTCCCATCCATCTTTCCAGAACGGCGAAGCATGGAAACAGCTTTATGTGCTAAAAACAAATGGTTTCAAAGCTAGCCGAAGTAAATGCGTACAAGGAACCTTTCAAATACGCTTTGTCTAATTTCCTTAGCATTTAACTCATCAGGAGATATTTACTAAGTGACAGTTTTTTGCTCCATTGAAACACAAATATTTGGGGTCTACCATGAAAAATACTGAAAACAGTAGAACCATTTTTTTCTATATATTATCTCTTTGGAAAACAATATACCAACCATTGGATTGTTTTGACGATCGCGTGCACGTACGGCTGTATAATTGTATGAGTGAAACTATGAGAAAAAGTGCTCGAATTCATCAACGGTTTATTATGACCAAGGTGATAAACCGAAAAAGATGTTGCTTTCTCACATTGTTTTCTCTTTCATGGTACAGAAAAAGTCAGCAATGATGGTCAAGATCCATATGAAGAAGTGGAATGGATCAACACTAATGCTCTTACAATCGTACTTGTAAGGGTGACCATGTTAGACCCTTTCAGCCATGCAAAGACGTGAATGCGAGCTTAACCAGAACTAATACATCCCTCAACTACTCAGATAAGGAAAGATACACAGGAGACAGTGATGAATAGAAACCTCTACCACGTTAACTTATATAGAGAATGAAATTTCCCACCAACGGATTCTCTGCAACTTTATTGGGAGAGCATCCAACCGCAATAACTCGAATCTTATGGGAAAACTCGGGTTACTTTGTTATATGCTCGTTGCAAATCATACCTTTTTTTTTCCTTATTGAGTACGTTTTCTTCACAATACTGACGTACGATTGCAGTTAATTTAATGCCATTAAAATAGTAAACTATCATCTAAAAACCTCCCGCACCACTACTCGCCGTCCGCGAGACTTCTCTTGCACTTCTGAATATGTCAAGAATGGTAATCATTACTTTGTTCACCTAGTATCATTCGAAAATGAAATCTATTGATTTGAAAATGTGAAATAGTTTTACATTTGGTTTTACTTAATGCGGGCGTGGTATTTTCCTTGGAACTCATGGAGCCTTAACAATATTGTTCTCCTCAAAGAATTCTTACAAACAACTGAGGTATAATTATGAAAATGATAAAATAGTCTTTTTGCAATTACCATTCAATTTTGTAGTCGACCTATGTCTTAATTACAAAGCCATGAGTAATGCCGATAGAAGGGGCACTCACGTCACAGTCTTCAATGAAATGTCACGTGAAAATGCATCCTGGGGATGGTATCGTTTCGTTGGAGCAGCAGGAGCAAGAATGCCGGACAAATACATTAGTCGACATAAATGTAATACCGTTCTTTCAGGCTGGTCGAATG